GCAAGCTAACTGCAGCGGCTTCAGTGCAAGTTCGATCCCCACCCCGGAGGTGATCCACATGGTGCAGCAGACCTCTCCTGACCTGCCCACTGCTGCTCCCCTCAGCAGTGTACTTCCTCGATCTTCCTGTTCTGCTCCCCACTCTGTCTCTGGTGAAGCCTCTCACCGCCTGAGCCTCTGGCCTGTACCCCAGTTCTCTATATACAAATAAATAAATCTATAAGAAGAAAAAAAAAAAAGATCTCTTCTGTCTTCCCTCAACAGAGAAAAGCCCCCATGTCAGCCCATATACCGCTGGTTTATGTCCAGACAGTAACAGTAAGTGTCTAACTGAAACCTAAAAGGAGTAGGAGACTGAGAAATGATATGTGAGTGGCCTGAAGATCATAGGTGAATTAACAGTGAATTAATGAGCTTAAACTTCATGGGTGCGCAACTGCAGGTGAATGCTGGGAGTTGAACAATGCTCTGGGAGGGCGGGATCCCAGGCTGGAGATGGGAAATTCTGTGCAAGCACTGGTAACAATGTGCCAAAAAAAGCAAAAGACCAGAATCTTTAAGGTTCCAAAATTTTGCTGCATATTTTTTAGTTGAAGAAAATATTCCTTTTGTACCTAATTTTGTATTTAAAGTTGTATGTTCTTTCAACTACAGTTCCTAAAACTGTATAACCTTCAGATCTGATAAGACTTAGAATCTCCTTTCTGTACAATTCCATGTGTCATTTTTCAAAACTCTCCATAATTTAAACCTAAACATTTAAAATATATCAGTTTCGTGGTTCTTAACTATGATTGCTATCAGAAATCACCTGGGAACTTCATAAAAACTTAAGAGGTTAGCTGAATGAGGCTGGATTTTTTTTTAAACTATCTAGGCTACTGTGATCTACCCAATTTGGGAACTACTGTTCATATCAATATTTCTCACAACAGGAATCAGCTCACTGATGGTCACAAGGATTTCCTGACCTCAAATCATAAGTCCACAGTTCTTATGATCAAATGAAACTCAAACTGACATATCATTTTTACATGACAATAAAAAGTAACTACTAGCAGCCTACTAACTGAATTGCAGAGTTGCTAATTGATGTTCATAAACAAATTTTGGCACATTTATTAGGGACACTTGCACTAAGAAGTCTGGCTGTCATGTACTACTTGGGAGTGTTCCAAAGCTGAAGTGCAAATACTCAGGAGCAGATAACCACATTCTTGCAATAGACGAGGATACTGTTTTTAGTGCATTGTCAAGTGTTACCTTGAGAGGGCTATTTTCCTATGTGCTCAGCATTCACTTCCACATTTTCTATATCTACTGTTCCATATTTCTAAGAAAAGGAGGGCTAAAAACGATTTCTCATACTTCCTTCTGGTTTTGAAATTCAGTGAGGTCCTTGAAATGAGATGCATTGTACAAAATCTGGGAGGGAGAGGACAGTTCTCTTTTAGCAGCTAGGTCAGCTAATGTGTTTCAGCAGATGAGTTTTTGGAATGGCCAGACTCTAGGCTTGATCTTTAGATTTGATGCTTTTGTGACAGCTAAATACACTCCAGTTACTTGCTGTTTTAGCATAAAGCTATAGTGGTGTGACTTGAATGTCTGGGTATATTTGCTTTCACTTTTTATTTCCACTTTGCCACTAAATAATTCCCTTTGTTAAGTACTTGTAAAAACTAAAACAATTTGTAAGCCTATAATAAGTCACAACTTGTTCAATCCATGCTATTTTAATTAGGACTTTCTTGTGTTTTAAGTACATGTGGAGTAAATTTTTTTTCTTTTTTTTTTACTTTCCTGTTTGGTTACGTTACTGTTTAGCACTAGTGTTGCTTTCATTACCAACATTTTGCTATCACCAAGTGTTTTTGTTTTTTGCTGAAGTAACTATTAGTACAGTAGGGGGACTGTGAGATTTTTCTTGTCTTTCCTAAATGGATTACAATCAAAGAATTTTGTGAGTCATTACTTAATCCTCTCTGTTAGTGAAACTGGTTTATTTGTTGTATTGGGGAAACATTATCAAACCCTTTCATGTTTTCTCTGGTATCAAATGACATTTTGATTGCTCATCCTTACAGCCTTATGCAACCAGTTCTATGTGTATCTTCTTTATTTGAATTTATGAAAGTAGATGCCCTATCGCATCAGTTAATGTCTTTGTGGACATCACCATACCATGTTACTCATAACTGCTCATTGTTTCCACACTGCTTAATAAATGTCTGTTAAGCACTGTAATCAATGTCTGAGCTAACATTTCTAACTACTTCAAATTGTTACAGAGGTCTTCATTTAGAATCCTTTGTTCAAGCTGTGACCAAAAAATTGAAACAGAAAATCAGAATTCGAGAAAATATAAAACAATGTGGTAAAAAAAGGAACAAACTTTATAATTATTTAAAATTTCATAACTTCTTTTAAGACTTCTTACTCATATCTAGCACCTAAAAGGATTACATTCAGAAAAGGTTTGTCAAAAGCTGAATGAATCAGTCTGATAATTCACTTATCCTCTCAGCTTGTGAAACAAAAGTTAAACCTTTATACTCCTTATTTACTCCCCAGATTTATTAAAATTTTAGCCCTGAGAAGATATTTTAATGTTTTTGTCCCATAAAAACATTCAAAGTTCCTAAAAATTATCCCCTGTACTCTGCCTTCTCACAAATTTGCACAATAATTTGCCTTTCTTTCACCTTTGATCTTTTTGATCATCTGCATTCAATTAGGCTCAATTTCCCCTTCTAACCACACCTCAGACATGCTAAAATGTTTTCTAATATTGCCACTTCACTAAGAATATTAAAAATGTCAAAAGTAGCCCATTTATTGTCAAATCCTCTTTTCAGTCTTCATCCTGTCCTCTCTCTCCATTACATTTGTCACTGTTGACTATGTGACTCCTTAAAAAAAATTTTTTTTAATTGATGTGACATTGTATAGTACTATTATATAGTTTTAGGAGTACATTAATATAAATTAGCATCTACATATAGTACAAGTTTTCTTGAAAGTCTTCTCATTCTAGGCTCTCATTCACCAGTCTCTCTTAGTACTTCTCTATCTTTCTGGCTACTTTCATTTTTGCTGAATCTTATTGTGTAAACTGAAACTGACCAATGAAAGGGAGCTGGGAAGTAAAAGGCATCTCACCAGGGAGGGTAGAGGCAGTGCAGAGACAGGGGTTAGGGAATTTGGCTGGAGCAGATGACAGCTTGGAGACCTATCTAGGATGCGACACTTAAAGTGAACCTGTGTTTAAAGGTTTATAAAAAATCATGGCAACTATAAACAGAATTAAATACACTCAGGCACTTAGATGATGTCAACCTGAAATGAGTTCAACATGAAAGTATGCTCACCACTGTCCCAGCCATGGGGTCATAGAACCGCTCAAGGAGCTGGACCACCGTGCTCTTCCCACAGCCGCTGCTGCCCACAAGGGCTAGTGTCTGGCCCTTCTTCACCTCAAGGCTCAGCCCCTGCAGTACCGGGATGTCTGGCCGAGTGGGATAGTTGAACACGACTCCATTAAATGTCACATTTCCCTCCAACATTTTCTAAAATCAGAAGGGTAACAATAAAATTCTCTGCTGCAATCCCTAAAAACATGCTGTATGGCAACCCCCTTACCTCCAGGCGTCATAGGTTGTATTGTAACTAGGCATCCTTTGTAATTGTTAGAATTTAATAATGAAGACCTAAGAGAGTGCTTTATACCATATATTACTAACACAATATCCAATAACTAGAATCTGTCCCCCAAGAATAATTCAATGCATAACTCTGTTGACAAAGTGGACAGTGTTCCTATTACCATCAAAACATCAAACTTACGGGCTTTTGGCCTTCTGTGCTGTAGCTGTCAATCAGAGGAACCTTTTCAATGATCATGATGATGTGAGCTGCTGACACTTTAGCTTTAGCATAGTCAGGAGCAAATGAACTGACTTGTCCCACTGCCATGGCTCCAAAGACAATTGCTGAGAAGACCCTGCAAAAAACCAAGACAAATATGTAGATTTATGACTATAATGCGAGAAAATTGACATTTCCACAAGCACTGTCTCAACAATAACAGGGGAAAAAAAACCCCGCTTTTCTTATAAATTCATGTAGTATGATAGACTGATTATAAAATGGCCCTGTTTTTCATCTTTCTCTGCATTATCACTTGCTTGCTATATGACTTTGCAGTTTGTCCATTTAAGAAGTAGAATTTGTTTTCCCACACTCTGAATATGGATTGACCTTGTGGCATGTTTTGGCAAACAGGATATGGTGGAAGTGACTGCTGCCAGTTCCAAGCCTGTGACTCAGGTGACCTTGCATGCTCTCTGTCTGCCACTTGATCCTCACTTCACCCCCTCCACTACCACAAGCCCAGTTAACGGCACTGACAGACAAGGCACAGACAGAAGACAGCTGTGCTAGGCCGTAGCTCTCTGTAGACACAACTGTGGACCTTGTTGAGATCTGCTATGCCTGAACCAGATCAGCAGATTTGACCACCTAATCCATAGACTTGTGGGTAAAAATGATCACTTTATGTCATCGAGGTATAGTGCTTGGATATTATGCACCATTATTATGGCATTTGAAATGGATACAGGCAGGGATGCTGGAATTATAATGGAATCTTAGAAAGCCTGTGAACAGTGAAGCAAATAAAGAGATTTTACAGACCCAGATATCATGTTGCACCAATATTCCTAATCTGTGACACATGGATCACAAAAATTTAAAGCTGTGAAGCACTTTGCAGGATATCAAAGTCAACTTCTGATGTTTATCTTCCCCTAAGTTGGCTTCCATCCTCTGTTTTAGGAAGTAGCAAGTTTGATTCAGGCTATTGTTAGAAAGCTATTTTTCAAAATGAAGAAACATAAGATTTTAGCCAGGTCTTCAAGGACTGAAATATTGTTTAAAAGACTGTTCCTTTGATAACTCCTTTCACTTAACACTTCTGGAAACAAAGTGCCTTTTAAAACAGTGGACCTGGAACCCTGGAACTGACATAATACTTAACACTCCTAGAACAATACTGTGAGCCCATTGCTCTTCTCCTCTAGATTCTATGTCTGCGTTAATGTAGCACACGTGTCTTTTTAAAAAATAGCTGTAAATAAAACTCACAATTTAGACTTGTTAACACATAAACTAGTGGAATTTTTTTTTTTTAAATAAATGCACTGCCCTTCATACAGGTCTCCCCTTTGCTATACTTGGAAGGCTGACTTCCCAAACCTAAATCCCTGAATTGAATCAACACCCCTACATAGTCATACATTTGGAAAGGTCAAACATGTGACTCAGCCGTGAGGATAGGGGAAGTCAAGTGTTTCTGTTAAGGGGAAGGATGTCCTAAAGGAACTCTGAAGAGTCTTGGGGACCCCACCCCCTACTCCAGCCTTCTGGACTCTATCCCCTACTCCACTGATTGGAAACTACAACTCCCAGCAGTACTAGAGAGAACTGTGAGGACCCAAGGGCGGAGCTAGCAGGAATTCTGGGAAATTTGGGGGGATAAATAGGGCACGATTGCATCTCTCCCACTTGCTCAGGAAACAGCTCTCCTGACAGCGAGACTTGTTTTCAGTCAGACTAGCCGGCAATGTATTCTAGTTACTTTGTACCTTGATCTCTTTCCCTGGGTTGTTTCCTATTCCTTTCCCCTTTTGTAAATAAACTCATTATTGATCCCTTTGTGTGTGCCTGCAGTATAACTGAATTGTGAGTGCATGGGTGAGGTCCCACAGACATGCGGCCCAGTCCACTCTGGGCCACCCTGTAACATTTCCTCAAATGAAATGGGGTACTTCAATAGTAACACAGGGAGACCTAGAAGTTAAATGCCACTTCTGAATCACCAAAATCTCATGAAGCTTCAGTTTTTAAATCCAGGTATGAAGTATGTTTACCTTGATTTAATTTTAGAATTTAGTTGTAAATTTTAGCTGAATACTTACAACAAAACATGCTCAAATTCCATGATCTGCTTTGCCACCAAGAATGCACCAAACCGGAAACAGCCGGCATAGGAAAAGTACATCATTGCCTGGGTGAACGCAAACGTAATGCCAAAGACATGTGCTTTCTTCAAAGAATTTCTGAAAAGAAGACATTTTGAAATTTTCTGGACTTATATTTCTCAGCCTTTAACATGGAACTTTCTTTAAGTTAGCATTGGGGCATGGCAGATAAAAATGGGTTTGTTTACAAAAATAAGTTTGGCACACACTTTGCCATTCTTGAGAGTTTAGGAAACTGCCTACTCTCTGAGACTCAATATATTGATCTTTAGTGGATGATTAACCACATCTCAAAGGTAAAGTTAATATCACAGCGAAAATAATAAGAGCCTATTACATATAAATTGCTTCCATTTTCTCCTACCTCTTGGGTATAAACATCTATAGGCTCTATAGTTAACATTCATTCTACATACATTTGCCAATACAAGCTGCTGGAACTATCATGATTAGAGTGGATTATAAGTTGTGCAATGAAGGTACTTCATGAATTAAATGTTATGGGGAGAAAGAAGGGGGTACTTAGCACACTCTGAGGGACTTAAAGAAGATTCCACAAAGGAATTAACATCTTGGATTTCTGAGTCACATGGAACTTGGTGGTGTGAAGATAAGAGAAGACTAGAAAGTGGGCAGCCCACTCTCTGGACTCCTACTCCTGCTTTAATCATGTTAACTTTGCTTTTGTCTATTTTATATACTGGAATTTCAAATGAATTTTTTTTTCAGGAAAAATTTTCTATCTTTTTTTATAAGCAGAAAAATCTACTGACAAAAGGTCCCCTTTTGTCATAGAAGGAACTGAGGATCAGAGAAGCTGGGCTTATGTTTACATCACTTTTTTTTAGAGCCCTCGCTGGATAAGGTGATTAACAGATGAAGAGGTGTCCACATGAGAAAGGGGAAAGAGAGGAAGGAGAGAAATACACAGGAAGTACTTAGTGTGCCACAGTTGACTCAGATGTCATGTTCCATAAAAGACTCATTGCCAGTAAGAGCAAATAATAGGCTCACTGTCCAAATGTGGCTGAAAGTCATTTTCAATATCCTCTTCCCAAGAGTTGCCTATTTATTCTTAGTTATTCTACCTTAAAGACATTCCTGATTTAGGTCAGAGTATAGTAGGTACATATAAGTGCTTTTCCAATGGTTCCTTTCCAGTAATTTCTACACTTTTTCATTATCTCTGGCTAAAGTAATCCTCCTAAAAAGAAATCTGGTGATTGGAAAATTCCTCACACTTCCCTCCTACCCTTCAGTGTCATTACCTGTATGGTACCTGCAAATTTTGTGAATACACATATTCAAACTTCTGCTCCCGAGTTAGAGAAACAACAGTTCGGAAATTTTCTATTGCTTCTGTAGCAACCTGAAACACAGAGAACCCATTCAATAAGAAGCACAAAAGCAAGTGGCAATAAGTTTAAGTTCCATAAAAAAAGTTTACGATTAAAAAAAGTAAAAAAGTATTACCTTTTACTTTTACATATTTATTATATAAGTTTCCTTGCTCTGGAAAATGATAATAATTAAGATAGTATTAAATCTAGTTTGCGTTCTGGCTAAATCAATCTCTTCTTTACAGAAAGAGAAGTCAAGGCTAAGAGGAATAAATGCACTTATCTAAAAGCACATTAACTTTACAGTTGCAAATTCACCTGAGAATTCAGCATTTTACATCTCTTGAAGTGCTTGTTTTTCTATGATGGTCGCATTTTAAGCTATAGTTATTCTATACATTTTTAAATGTTAGCTTAAATTTTTCTCTTTATGCTTGTCATTCATGACAACTAAAGAATCTTTGGAAAATATTGAAAATATATATAATTAAAAGTTACATATTGCTGTTTTTTTTAACTATTAATGCTATTTTTCTAAATATATACATATTCAACAAAATTGGGTTCAGCTATACTTGACTTTCTATCATTAAGTTTTACTTTAACAAATAAGAATTTTTTTTAAAGATTTATATATTTGTGCACACAGAACTGAGGTACAGGCCAGAGGTGCGGGGCCGTGAGAGGATTCACCAGAGACAAAGTGGGGAGCAGAACAGGCATGTCAATGACGTACACTGCTGAGGGGGGCAGCGGGCGAGTCAGGAGAGGTCTGCTGCGCCCTGTGGGTCACCCCAGGGGCAGGTGGGATCAAACTCATGAGGAAATGGTTTTAACTTCTTAGTGCTGTGCTTTAACCTGCTGCACCACCCAAGGGGCCCACAAATAAGAATATTTTTAACGAATTATTTTTTATTGAAATTCAACAAATTATTTCTTTCTATACATGAAAATGGGATTTTTGATAGGCCACTTAATTTCACCAAAAAAGCACCCCAATAAAATACCCTCTTATTGTGAACTTGAACAATTTCCCTTTTTAATTAATTGCTTCTCTTTATTTTTATTAAATTATTTGTATTGATGTGTTGGTTTACAACGTTGTAAACTGTGTAGAGTGAAATTGCATATTGTAGCACTGGTGTTTTTTATATTTCCTACCCTGTTGTCCATGGTTCTCCCACCACTGTATCATTTGTGAACCATAACCACATTTACTTGTGTTTACCCCTCCCCTATTTTGTTTCCCTTCCTTTCCTGTATGCCTCAGTTCTATGGTCAACTTGCTAGGTTTGACTTTTCTTGACATTTTGAACAAGATTTTCAATTTATTTTTGTCTATTAAAAATGATGTAGTAATGGCCCTCCCTGGTGGCGCAGCGGGTTAAAGCACAGCACTGAGAATCTAAAGCTGCTTCGTCATGAGTTCGATCCCCCCCTGCCCTGGAGGTGACCACATGGCGTGGCAGACCTCTCCTGACCCGCCCGCTGCTCCCCTCAGCAGTGTACTTCGTCGATCTGCCTGTTCTGTTTCCCACTGTCTCTGGTGAAGCCTCTCACCGCCTGAACTTCTGGCCTGCACCCCAGTTCTGTATGCACAAATAAATAAATCTTTAAAAAAAAAATGATGTAGTAATAACATTTGTGTACAGAAAGAAATAATTTTGTTGAATTATTGTTTTAGAAGTTTTTAAGAGTAAAATGATCAGGTCAAAGGGAATAAATTAATTTTTAAGCATCACAGCACATATTGTTAATTTATTTTATAGAAAGTTTCTATCATTCAAATATGTTTGAATTGAGTACAAACAAGGCTATGTGTTTATGATAAATGCATCCTTTACCACTTTTTGAAGCGTGGGAAAGGGTAGGAAATATAAAAAACACCAGTGCTACAATATGCGATTTCACTCTACACAGTTTACAACGTTGTAAACCAACACATCAATACAAATAATTTAATAAAGTAAATGAAAATATGTTTAGAACCTTTCCACATTTTAATATGTCCATCATATGTAATTACATAGATATATTTTCTTCAATAAAAAGAGTACATTTTATCTTGATTGAAACAAAGAAAAAGCAGAGCAATTATGAGAAGGGATAGGGAAGGAGAGCAGAAGGAAGAGTATGAAGACACCTAGAAACTAGAGAAAAGTATGATGAAGGGAGTTGCCAGCCTGTGAGCCTATGACTTTATTTTGCTACTTTTCTTCAGTTTCTGAATTGCTGAACAAGTGTTAGATAAGATTGCTTTGAGAATGGTTATAAAAACATTCTGCAAGCTAAGTGAAATAAGGCAGAAGGAGAAAGATAAATACCAGATGGTGTCACTTATTATATGTGAAACACAGAGAAACCAAACAAAGGGTCAGGCAAAGACAAACTTTAAAACCAAGCCCACAAAACTATGAACTGAGGCATCTATGGGGAAGAGGAGGAGGAGGGAGAGAGGTGAGAATAGGGTGGGAGAGAGCATAGTGAACTATGGTTGAGGACTGTAGGTGCTTTGGAGGTGGGTGGGCTATGGTGACTATACCTGAAGGAGGAAATCCTATAGTTCCAAAACATTGTCAAGGTTGTAAACCAATGGTACTTCAATAAAAAAAAATAATAATAACCATTCTACAAGCACAGTAAGCTGTAGTAACAGTAACACTGACTAGAATATTGTACTCTTTTTGGATAAGCTATTATCATTAGTTTGACTCACCTTTCCAGCACCTTCTAGCTCTTTTTTATCTTTCAGTGCATGTCCAGACAACATTTTCATTTCAATAACTCCTGCTATTGCAATAATGGGTACAATTGCTAAGAGTAAAAGTGTTAACTGCCAGCCATAGATTAAAGATATAATAATGCCTGTTCCAAGATTTGCTATATTCTGAGTAATTACAGCAAGCCTGGAACCTGTAGCCTGCAAAACAAACAAAACCTATTAATGGAGCACTTTTATATTATTTTTAAAATACAAGTTTTTATTTTCATAAGGATTATGACAATGCAGTTTCATGAAAACCTATTAATTACATACTATGTTATGAACTAAAGATTTATTTGTAGGAAGTTTACTTAGTTTCCAAAATGAAGATTTTCATGACTTCATAATAAATACTGAAAGCAGAAAATCAATAATTCAAAATGTCACTAATTCAGAGTTCAAGCATGTATTTCTAGTTCTTTAGATATTTTTAATGCCAAGAAAATGCTCACTGACAAAAACCACAATTATTAAAGCAAGCTCTGCAAATAAGCAAGTTAAAAGAGCCCAACAATTATATTAAACAGAGCTGTAGAAAATTTCCAATATTAGATGCATAACTATATAATTTAAGTCCAATATTTGTCTGTAAGGATATTCAAATATATCTTGGCCTATTCAACATTCTATCATTTCATTAGCCAGCAACTGCTTTGTAAAAAAAATACACAGTGCTGAAAATTACAGAATGTAGGATTCTAAGCAGGCAAGTTGAATGACAGAGGGAGCCTAGACATGAATTTTTAATATACAGTAACTCCTAGGTCAAAAGCCAGAAGTCAAACTACAAATTCAATTTGGACCTAAACTTTCTTACAGCAACTTCACAAATTCTTTCTTTCATTAGCATTAGTTTCTGTCCATTGACCCTATATGATAAGCTGATAAATACATTTCTAAGTGTTTGTCTTTATTTACTGTTTTAGTAGCATGTATAACACAGCAAGTAATGGTATGCTTGTAAATTATCAGTATATGATACAGTGCATGGTGTTTAACAGTTTTGCCATAAAATATAAAACATATTGTGCAGGATAAATACCTAACATTTCTTTTGTGATGATGAGAACTGACATCTGAGAAGAAAGGAAGAGTTTAAAATGGACAATTAAGACAAACACCAGCAGAAAGCAGGCACTTACCCCTTTAACTTGAGCAGCATCATTGGCAAGCCTGGTGGTCAATGCTCCGGTGGTATTTTTAGGGTCATCAAACCAACTTACATCCTGTGGCAGAGAAAATGATTTTATTATCTCAAAGCCCAGTTTGAGATTCTGATCTGACAGGGTCAGTTTTGTTGATCACTTATTTTCTATGCATTTAATACTTGCGATTTGACAATATACAAGAAAAGGACTTTATTGACAAACATGTAAACATGATTTTATTTGTCAAAATCATTTTTGAGTTCCTATTTTGATCCACACACATGGTTTCCAAGTGTAGGATTTTATACAACAGTGAAAAAGGGAAAACTTGAGGCTTTCATGAAGTCTGTATTGCAGAGATGGAAGGCACAAGTAATAAGTATGTTTTATTTTATTATACCATGTTGGATGGCAATAAAAGCTATGAAGTCAAAAAAGAGTGAGAAGAAAAAAAGTGAGGGAATCTATTTCATAGTTTGGGGAAGGGTAGAGAAATCTTCTCTAAGTGACATTAGAGCAGAGAACTAATTGAATGACAAGAGAGATGAGAATACCTGCAGGAAGGAAGCATATGCAAAGACCCTGAGGGAAGGCAAGCCTGAATGGGTCAGGCACTATCAAGATGCCTTCAGGCCTGCCAATAGCCTTAAAGGGACCTTTGTGTAAGCTTGTAAAAGCTGCTTTTTTCTTTGGACGGATTTCTATTTCACTTGGTTCTACCATTCCTTCCCCACTCACGCTCTGTGCAATAAGCCAGTGGGCCTAAAACAGAACACATACTAGAAATAAATAAAGCTGTGGGAGATGAGATCTGAGAAGTAATGAGGGCCACTATGACCTATGGGCCATGCTGAAGATTCCAGATTTTACCCAGAGATATGGGTAGTTGGGACAAAAGAGTGTGATCTGACTTATACTTTAGAACAATGACGCTTGTGAAGGGAACCTACTGCATCAGGATAAGGATGGAGACATAAGCTAGGCTAGGTGGGATATTTAATATTAAACAGAAACACAGGAGAGAAAGAGTGATTCGAGGTTTTTAGTTTGAACAAGTGGTAGAATGGAGCTGCCATTTACTGATATGGGAGAAGACAAGGTAAAGACTAAACCTGTGGGGAGGGGAAAACCAGAAGTTCATCTTTGGAAATGTTAAATATTTAATTCTTTAGACATCTAAGTAAAGAAGGTGAACACACATTTAGCTAACTGTAGTTCAGGGTAGAGTAAATAAAATTGTTTAAAGAACTCTAAATTTAAATTGAACAGTCAATATAAACTGTTTTTCTTTGTAAAACCCCTTCTATTTTTCAATACATAAAAACTAAAATGATGGTGAGCTTGAAGTAAAAATTTATATTTGTTACAAAAATAACTACATGGTTCTAAGTTATCTGAATTGACCTCTTGTATCTATGATTTCCCTCCCAAATACTTAGGAAAGCACAAAGCATTATCATTAACTTATTACAGCAGGTGTTAATCTGCTTTTATTTTTTCCCAGTTCTCTTCTAAATATTTTTAATTTATTTATTTGTAATTGAGGTAATATTGGGACAGCCCCATTAGATTGTGCCATATAGGGCACCCATCACCAGCTCCCCCATATTTGATCATCAATTTGCATTTTAAAAACTGCATCCCGGGCCCTCCCTGGTGGCGCAGTGGGTTAAAGCACTGCACAAAGAGACTAAAGCCACTTCCGCATGAGTTCGATCCTCGCCTGCCCCGGAGGTGACCACATGGCGCGGCAGACCTCTCCTGACCAGCCCGCTGCTCCCCTCAGCAGTGTACTTCGTCAATCTGCCTGTTCTGCTCCCCACTTTGTCTCTGGTGAATTCTCTCACCCTCTGCATCTCTGGCCTGTACCCCAGTTCTGTATGAATAAATAAATAAATCTTTAAAAAAAAAAAAAAACTGCATCCCTTTCCCCCCAACTGTCATGTAATTTCCTTGAAGAACTTTAGCACTGTGTCTTGTAAGCAGAAGGCACTTAAGGCATATTTGATGTACTTAATAATTTATGAAGAGGGTACTACACAAACCATCAGCTTTGCTTCCAAAGTATGAATCTAGAAGTTGGTCTGGAGACTGGTGGGGTAATGGGTATTTGGCCCTGGACCAAGGTCAACTTGAATCTAAGTATCTTACTGATACATTGGTTTGACTTGAGCAGGGTCCCCCCCACCCCCATCAAATAGTGCTCTCTAAGTTATTAGATTCAGTCCTGGCTCTGCCGGTCTAGCAATTCTCATAAATATTTTTTAAAGTTATTGTGGTAGGAGTAGGAAAGAATCGAGGAATAAAAGGCAGCTGGAAAAGAATGGGTGTCATTTAGAAATCCTCACATAGCCTACTGATGCTTTTTCAGTCATGAATCAAGTACCTCTGGCATGTCAGGTGCATCCTCTTAAAGCATCATTTTATTCAATGGGAAGTGATTAGTGACTTTATAAGAAAGTGATAAAGTCACATATACAATCTCCATGATTAATAAGGAGATTTTCCCTTTGAACTGGGCTGCTTTGGGCTACATTCCAATAATCTCCCAACACCTTTCCCTGGGGAAACATTCATTCCTGTCAGAGTTTTGAATTAGTGAAATTGTGAGCAGCATTCCATTAAGTCGTTATTACTAGTAGCACAGTGGCTTAATTATTATGTCAGTCTAATCCCAGCAAAGAAGCTAGGCAGTGAGGAAATGGCTGTGGGATGAATCTTATTATGTGGAAAAGAACAATACAGAACCTATCTCTTGCTAAGAGACACACAAGTATCTGGGGTTTCCCAGGTAAAGAAGGAAAGAGAGGAGAAGGATTAGGAGTTCTGAAGACGTCTCCTACCTACAGCTACCAAGACAAAAGCTCTAAAGATTGTGTCTACCAGTAATACTGTTCCTTGTGCCCTCCTACAGCAAACAGACAGCAGGGCTCTGAACCTGTGTCTGGAACAAAGGGCCCTCAGCCACATCAGTGAGATGAGACTGAGGAAAGATCAGTGCAAAAGCTCGCACTCCTACTGCCTGAGACCACAGGAATAAAAGCGGAGCTATACATACTGTGAGCCACAATCGTTAATACATACCTGTCTCAGCATGGATTTAAAAACCATGTATCGGAGCCGCTTGGTAAGGATCTCTCCAGCTTTGCCAAATGTGTATCCCTGTGAAGAACAAGAAAGCACACAAAGAAAGGAGACTTGAGAACCAGATGTGGATTATTTAAAACACTTGATGTCATTGTTAAAGGACAACAGACAAAGTCAGAAACCTGATTACATTTCAGAGACTATGTACTATGGTGCCTACCACGTGGATGGCAGAGATATGAGAGCCCGAATTTGACATGGACATTGTCACTCCCCCGCTAGCTGACAGGCCAATGCAGGATTTATTAGAAAGTGTGTTTCTTTGTCCCCCATTCCCACACCTGAGTATTCGTTCCAGTGAACTGGGGTCTATTACTCAGCAGTAGAATTTGCTCCCAAGGTGGGGAGCTCGACACAGGGAGATTATATTGTGTACCATCCAAAACAAGACTTATTTTTTATTTTAGAAAAAATAATGGATGCTCTTAATATACCAAGTCACTGGAAAAAAGACATCAAATCCTTAGTTTCCAAGTTTAAAAATTGCCCATCTAGAAGTAAAAAAGATTGTGAAAGAAGACTTACTGTGAGAGAATTTTCTGCCCTGCCCTTCCCTGTCCCACAAAAGTATAGTCCTTTGTGTCTGGGGGAGGAAAGAAAATTACTGGGAAAGAACATAATAGATGTGATTGTGCAGCCACGCAGAGCCGCATCTGGAGAGGAAGGACAACAGAAATTTCATTCCAACGACTTTTGGGGAGATGGGACTAGAAGAAAGCAACACTCCTTTTCTTTTTGGAGCATAGGGAAGGAAGTGGAAGTTTAGAGATGAGGCTGCCACATAAAGCTTGGGGAAAGTGGATGTGGATGGACTGTGGCTGGAGAGGAGAGACCTAACACCAGCCCACGTTTCCTATAGAGTCAGAGTTTAGAAGAGGAAACCAAGTTTCCTATCAGAGAAGTAGAGGAGGTAACCATGTTAGTTCTGTGCTCTCAAGTAGCAGGTTGGATATTATTGAGAGAGAAGCATATGCAGATAGCATAAAGGAAGAAAAACTAAAAAACTGGGGATAGCCAATTAAGACCACCTAAGTGAAAGACAGTTGGGGTCTTCCAGGGCCCACCCAACATGAAGCAGGGGTACAAGTGATGTCTATTGATTATTACCTTCCCCTCAGAGTTGTACTGATACAGAACCCTCTGGTAACACAGCCACCAATCCAGGAAGAAGATGGAGAGAAAGCAATCTGAGACCGAGTTTAAGCTTGAAATCACTAAAATGATTACATTTACTTGGGAATAGCAAGATTAAGGTTTCTGCTATTACAAAATGTGAAAAGTCTTGCTTATACCAAGAACATTCCTATTATTTTTGTCCAATGCTATCCACTGTTAAGAGGCACTGTACTTTACACTATGTTAGCTTTTTAAGTCCTTATGACAAGCTATAATGCTGGGTATTCTGGCATTCAGCCAGAATCTCTACATGTCTGAGATCACAAAATTAATAGGTTTATTCTCATTTCAATCTGCCATGCAAGCTAGATTCTAGTCTCCCTGATCATCATCATATTACAAAGATAGAGCTTTGTCTCTGTCTAACTCTGAAGTTTAAAGAACAGCTCAAATCCTACCTCCCTGCAAATTTCTTAATCGACTGGATTCACCCTCAGCAATTTTCTTTTTAAGATTTATTTATTTATGCATACAGAACTGGGATCCAGGCCAGAGGTGCAGGGGTGGTGAGAGGATTCACCAGACACAGACTGGAGAGTAGAACAGGTTGATTGATGGGGTACACTGTTGAGGTGAACAGCAGGTGGGTCAGGAGAGGTCTGCTGTGCAGTGTGGGTCACCTCTCTGGCTGGGGATCAAACTTACACTGAGGGGGGTACAACTAGCTTGCAGTGATGTGCCTTACCCCGCTGCATTACCGGGGAGAGTCCAACCCTCAGCAATTTTTATTTTCTCCAAACTCCAGTGGAATTAAGAGCTGCAATCTTGTATATAGTACGTTTCACATCTGGTGAAGCCAAATTCCCCAATGACGCTAAACATTTAGTTATGAAAGCTAAGTTTTCTTTACTACCTGTTATAACATCCAGAATAATGTTGTATTTTAAAAAAAAAATCAATACATGCGGGCCCTCCCTGGTGGTGCAGCGGGTTAAAGCACTACACTAAGAAGCATAAGCCACTTCCGCATGAGTTTGATTCCCGCCAGCCCCGGAAGAGATCCACATGGCTTGGCAGACCTCTCCTGACCAGCCCGCTGCTCCCCTCAGCAGTGTACTTCATCGATCTGTCTGTTCTGCTCCCCGCTCTATCTCTGGTGAATCCTCTCACCCTCCGCATCTCTGGCCTGTACCCTGGTTCTGTATGAACAAATAAATAAATCTTAAAAAAAAAAAAATCAATATATGCTCACAACATTTTAACTAAACAAAGTATTCAGATTTTCACCTTTAAAATTCCATGTGATATCATTATACCTATTTCACAGATGAAGAAATTGAGACTTAGACAATTTAAATGATTTGCCCAAGAACACAAAATTAGGAACTTGGGCAACTTGTACATGGCCGTAGGGATGACAGCACAGCCCAAACTGCTTTATTATTCACTAAGCTTTTAATGAATTTAATTCTTTTTGCAATTTCCTTTCAGTCAATTGCAAGATTTAAAATTGGATTCTTTGCAAATGTTTCCTACAATTTTTTTTTTTTGAGGACTGACATTCTTCCATCATTAAAAGGGCTCTTTATTCTTTTAGCTAAAATTGAATGACATATTCTTCAATTTAAAATCAGTGTGACTTGCTTATAACGTTTTATTTTGTTGTTGTTGCCTCATTAAGCACACATTTCTTTGAGGACTTAAGTTGACTGGCAGCACTTAATATCCAAGCTATGTCTAGGGTTCCTTAAATTTCCAGTGTGGGGGGTGGGGTGAAAGTGGAGAGAAGCCAGAGCAAGCAAAACATCTCAGTTTGAAAGAAACTTGGTTACTAACAGTGCAGTCAATAAAGGAATAATTTTCCTAAAAAGCAAATTACACAGACTTTAAAAAATTCCCCATACTTAAGTCATAATGCACATCTCAAAAATGAATAAAGTGAATATTTACCTGAAGGAAAAATGTGATAAAAGAAATTATTCCAAGGAGTAGAAACATTAGTGAAAAGAAGTGACTGTCCCGTTCTTTTGTTTCGTCATCCTGACTTTTGGTAAATATCTGTTAAGAAAACATTTAAAGGTTTTTATCTTAATGAACATTTGAAAAATTCATCCTGGGTCTGACACATTTCCCATCTAGCATAATGTTCAGGGATGAAGGAAACCTTAATGTAATTAAGGGAAATGTTGGCTTCCCTAATACTGGCATATGCACTCTGCCTTCTTTAGAGGCCACAAAGGATCAGTCTGTTGTTTATAAATTCATACCATGCTGTCTCTTTTCATGCTCCCTCTTGTAGTAATGAGTGCAGTGCCACAGGAACTACACCTAACATGGGAAATAGAAATGACAACCTCTACTACTTTTTCCTTTGGTGGGAAACTACAATGTATGACAAACATTGTTTCACAATTTGAACCTACCAAACTGTCCTAAGGTGTCTAGAGAAAATCTGTTAATGTGGTTTTGATGACCAGAGACAGTGGTGGTCATTTAGTACTGCCCAAGTCTTTCAGAAAAAAAAAAAAAAAAGAGGTTCCTTGAGCTAGTCTTCTAGAATGCCAGTGGGAACAACAGCCAATTAATGTAGCATCACATATGAAGACCTTTCTAGACATGGTTAGAGGGGCTCATAGGTATGTTTTGGGCTCAAAGAAGACAAAAAATAACCACTCCACATGCAAGAATAAAATTTCCATTGTCTCTGTTACAAAATCAGTCTTGTAACAGAGACAAATTCCTAATCCAACCCAAATAACTTTATCCTTTATAAAGTAAAAAGGCTTTTTAGAAGAGATTAATTTTTCTGAATGAGTAATTTCAACAAAAATAGTAGCTAACAAACAGTGAGCTATTACTCTGTGCCAGGCACTATTTTAGGCAAATTCATTCTATTCTCACAACCACCTACTGAACTTTAATTATCATCAGTACTTTACATAGAGGGGGACTTGATGCACAAAGAAGCTAATTAACTTGTTGAAGGTAACACAACCAGCAATTGATTACCAATAATATAAACTCAAGCAATCTAAATGACAGCTCAGAACCTTAAGCTCCATGTCACAAACCTTCAATGAGACAGATGATTGGTTGTCTACCCAGTACACAGGATCTAACGTGCCAGCCTGAATCATATGCCTTTAGGCTTATTGTTACATGAGTAGTGAAGAAAACAAAATCCACAAGTTGTGTTTTTGCTATACACAGTTAAAATCATTCCTAATTGATGCACTTTTTTGTTTCTGATGATGCCACTATCTACTTGTGCCTGTATGACAAATGTTAGAACAGTTATCAGCAAACTATGGGCCATGAGCCAAATGTTTACACAAAACTTTAAATGAACACAGTCAAGTCCATTTGTTTCTCTAGTTATTGTATGTGGCTGCTTTGCTCTATAATAGCAAAAATGAATACTTACAAGAGACCTCAAAGTCTAAAATAGTTACTATCTTACTCTTTGTAGGAAAAGTTTGCTAACTCCAATCTTAGGATACATGCTTCATAAAATCAAATATAAAATTTATTTTCTTCCTGGTATATTTTCAACACCTAAAACAGTACCTGACACAGAATAGAATCTGAAAAATCACTTCTTGAATTACTACATTAAACATATGAGTATCAATCTAAAATAAGTTAAGTAGACTTGGATAGATCTGAACATTAGTGTATTACCAAAAGACAATGTCTGGCCTGTGTTTTATGTAGTGAAAAAATCTCTCCACATTGTTTTCAGCAGTCAAGGAAACAATGTCCTTAGCTTGACATTTGAACATCTGTCACTAAACAGAGTATTCCTGCCTGCATGGTAACTTTACTGTTGAAAATGTCATTAAAAGCAGGTGCAACCAACATATGTCAATCTCAAATCTTTCAGATGTTTTTGTTTTCACTTTAACTAGTGAGATGGAATGCTCATGGAGGCAGCATGGTTGCTGCTTCCTGGACAAGAGAATATGGGTGTTAGAGAACAGTTCTCAGACTAGTCTGATAAACATGCAACTCTCTTTTCATGCTGGTGATGTGAAGGAATTCATGAGTTTCTCAGAGCCCAGACAAGTCAGGTAAGGAACAATCACCTTATCAGTTTCATTATTTCAAGGATGTTGTCCCCAAGGCTCTGGGACAGAAATCAATTGGACATGACAAAGGAAAGTTCGAAAAATAAGCTTTCCTAGCACAAATCAGATTTGTATTCTTAAATCTTAACACTACTGAGCTTTCTATGAAAGTATACACTTTTTGTATGTAGTCACAAACATCAATAGTTTGTTCTTTAGTTGGGACTCACAAGCAAATCTACAAAATGAGCATAGTCACTTACCCCTACAATCTTTGAAAATATTACTGAAAATGCTGGCTGCATGCCTCCATTTATAATGGCACAAAATATACCAATCACAAAATAAGGCCATTCAGTTATATTCAACTTCAGAATCCTCCAAAAGGAAACGGGAGGTACATTTTCTTCCTAGAAAACAAAATATCACCAACAGACTGATTATGAAGAGACTTGATAAGCAATTTCATGATGTACAGTTCTTCTAAGTGCACAAATCTGTTTAAATGAATATATCCTATTCCTGGTTTCTATCAACTGATGGTTATTTTGTTTTTTAAAAGTACTGAGAAATTCTGACATATGACTTCTTTATATTTTAATATTTTCAGAAATATTAATCTTACATAACAATCAAAACATATCAAGAATACTTTAAAAGATTTTAAGTAGAGATAGAGAACAGAAATGTTTATACTTGAAGACCCAATATAATCTCTTCTCCTATATTATATACAGTCTAAATTTAAAATTCTTGTGCTATAAGTTATCATTAATAAGTATAAAATGTTGAGATTTCAGTTTGTGGAACACTCTGAAAAATAGGACTAGAAGATTCTGAATAACATTGTTTCCACTACAACTGCATGCTTATCAAATTAGGGGAGCCACAAAAAAGGGGATTGAAGATATAACTCTACATCTTTATGTTCTACCATACCAAGGTCTCTTTTGTACTGAGATTTCTGTCTTGGTTTTGTGGTGCACCGACAGTCTTGAGAGTTGATCTTCTTCTTATTAGACTGGATCCTGATTCTTTTTGAGACATTTCCAAAGCTTCACTTTCACTTTTGAAGTCATCAGTTGCATTTTCTAATTCAACTTCATTTCCTCTAGTCTAAAATAAACAAGAAACATGGATACTTTGCTCAGGCTCAGTTAACCAGTGAAAATTAATCATATATCATGGAAAATGGTAATTTACGTAGCTACATGGAAAGATAACCTGTTGTTTTTCAAACTTAAAACCACTAAATTAGGAATCCTATTGAATATGCTGAAATGACATAGCATGTATCATATCCACTCATCTCTTTTTTTTTTTTTTTAAAGATTTATTTATTTGTACATACAGAACTGGGGGTACAGGCCAGAGGCTCAGGGGCGGTGAGAGGCTTCACTAGAGACAGAGTGGGGAGCAGAACATGCAGATTGATGAAGTGCACTGCTGAGGGGAGCAGCGGGCGGGTCAGGAGAGGTCTGCCATGCCATGTGGTCATGTGGTCACCTCCGGGGCAGGCGGGGATGGAACTCATGCGGAAGCGGCTTTAGCTTCTCAGTGCTGTGCTTTAACCCATTGCGCCACCAGGGAGGGCCCATTTTCCGACTTCTTAATACAAGTAACATTCATTTATACTACTAAACACAGCAAAGTCAGCTTATACCTAAGAAAATTTAGGAAAATTCTAGAGTTAAACTGTACCTGCATTGTGACAAGTTTGAAGTAAATGCCTTTCTCTTTCATGAGCTCATCATGATTTCCTTGCTCCACAATGACTCCGTCTTCAAAACCAGCAATGACATCAGCATTACGAACTGTAGACAAACGATGAGCTATCACAATGGTAGTCCGACCTTCTCTGGCCTATGGAGGCAAAACCCAGGATTTTGAATACAGAAATAATTATATTAAAAAATTTACACATTCAAATTATTTAATGAACACACAGTGCTCTGGAAATTCTAAGTGAGAAACTACCTTATAAAACTTATGATGTCCAGAATATTCCTTTCCAAGAACTAACAACCAAATTCTCAAACTAACAACAACAAAAAGATATTTGGACCAATGTAAAAAAGAGATGAAAAGCTCTAAGAAGAAAAAAGTTACACAAAGAAAAATTAGGTGGCAGCATTTAGAAAACAGAGAATACAATGGATCAGTTCTTTAGCTGTTTTCAAGAAAAGAGGCCTACAGAATCCTCTCCAGAAATGTAAATTATAAAGAAAAACTATTTTTAAGTGTAATCTTCTAAAACTGTTTTTATTTATACTATAATACATAGTTCCATTGTAGAATAAGAAGAAAAGACAGATGAATTAAACAATAAGAAAATACAGATTTGAAATTACTGTTAAGAAAAGTGAAGCAAACACAATCCCATCTGTCTCTATTTCGGTTGATAGAATTATTAGTAATCTGCTTTTTTTCCTTCCTCAACAAACCATTAAGCACACTGACAGATGTTTAAAGGAACATACAGTGTTGTTTTGCAACTAGAGAGGAAGAGAGTTGGAACAAATATAAGTTCTCTTTGAATTCTACTTTAATTCAGTGCATTTTGGCCTTCTCCTCACAGAGCTAGCCTGGTTATGATAATACGTAAAGACCAAGCACAAGTGCCCAGCACAGAGCAACCAATGGAACCCAGTTTCATAAATAAACCATTTGGATTGACGAAGTACAGAAAAGTTAAGCTCTGTCGATAGTCGAGGACATCTTATGGCTTATGTAGGCTTTGGTAAGTTTAACTTTATCAGCACTCAATCCCTTTTCTGGAGACAAGAGGTTTTTCATATCTGAAAAAATTCTCAAGAGGTATTTAATATTTAGGAAGTCAAATACGAAACTTTAGATTATGTTCTTCTCTTGTTGTACGTCACAACAAAGAGCAATTTTTATCTGTGACTGTATTTTTCACTGCTTGAAAGATTTTTCTATTCTCTTTCAATGAAAGTTTATTCTTGTCTACTTAAAAAATACTAAAGAGTGGCCCTCCCTGGTGGCGCAACGGGTTAAAGCACTGCACTAAGAAGCTGAAACCACTTCCGCATGAGTTCGCCTGCCCCGGAGGTGACCACATGGCGTGGCAGACCTCTCCTGACCCGCCCGCCCGCTGCTCCCCTCAGCAGTGTACTTCATCAATCTGCATGTTCTGCTCCCCACTCTGTCTGGTGAAGTCTTTCACCGCCCCTGAGTCTCTGGCCTGTACCCCAGTTCTGTATGCACAAATAAATAAATCTTTAAAAGAAAAATACTAAAGAAATAAATACAAGTCACACAAACAGATCTATAAAGGCCTGATGCATTTATGTGCTAGTAAAGCAATCATTTTAGAAGTGATTGTAAATGACCTATTCTTTTGTAAGAGCAACATAAATAAGAATGAACAATGGGATATTCTTATGCTTTTAAGATGTAAAATCAGGTCATTTTGAACTGAGGCTTACCAACCTTATCCAGGGCTGCCTGAACCACTGATTCACTTTCAGTGTCCAAAGCTGATGTGGCTTCATCTAACAGAAGAATCTTGGGGTTGCGAACAAGGGCTCTTGCAATGGCAATTCTTTGTTTCTGCCCACCACTCAGCTGGGCCCCTCTCTCTCCAACCAGGGTGTCAAATTTCTACAACAGAAAATACAGGAGCACTTGGTGAAAGAACAAGCTATCACAGCTCACAGTTAAATATAAAAAGAAATCCCATAAACAACCCGGAGCTCAAAGGCAATAGTGCTCAGATTCCTTAAAACACAGCAATAATCAACCCTAAATTTAAATATATATATATATATATATGCCAACTACAACTACTGATTGATGCTAGTTTTAAAATCTGAATTAATCTTGATTGCACTTCCTGGAGATTCCAAACATTTAATGCAGATTCCTAAATTCCTGTGCCCTCAGGCCTGCTTCTATTCTTGGAACCTCTAGTATGACAAAGATCAAAAAGGTCTTACTTTAGGTAGCTTCATGATAAAGTCATAAGCATTGGCTTCTTTCACAGCTTTCTCAATCTCATCCATGGTCACATTTTCGCGGCCGTAGCGAATATTTTCAGCTATTGTGGTGGCAAATAACACAGGTTCCTGACTCACCACGCCGATCATTTCCCTTAGATACCTTACATTGATGGTCCTAATGTCCTGTCCATCAATACTGACCTGAAATTAAATTAGATTTCTCACATAGTGCATATCAGAGTGATTTGCAGTACTAACTGCTGCTGTAGAAGCTCAGAATGAGTCATCTTACCGTGCCCTCCACAGGGTCATAGAGCCTCTGTATCAGCTGGACCGTTGTGCTTTTCCCACAGCCACTGTTCCCAACCAGAGCCACTGTCTGCCCACTGTGAACCTTCAGGTTGAGGCCTTTCAAGATCTACCAGGATGAATTAGAAAACAACTTAAAGGCAATTTCCAGACACTGGTACTATGAACTGAGAGTTTAATTCAAGAGAGATTTAAATATATATACATTTTTTACAGTTTCTAAATGAAAATATCAGAAATTCTTCACCCAATACCCTCCTGAGTCATTGATTAATCATTTATTACTGTACCTTTATTTCTTTTCGAGATGGATAACTAAAGTGAACATCTTTGAATTCCAAATTTCCCTGTATAGTATCTGGTTTGTGTCCATTCTTTGAATAGCTGTCAATGCTTGGCTTCTATAGAGAACAAAATTTTAAAAGATTATTAGGTCACAATAATTAATTGTAGTGACATTTGTGGCATGCTGGAATAAGTGATAAAGAATTGTTAACTAGAAAACTTTTGGGTAGATGAATAAATGATTACATTTACATTACTTACATTATCAATTATGTTAAAGATTTCATAGGCTGCTCCTCTTGCATTTGCAAAAGCTTCAATGCTTGGAGTTGCCTGTCCAACACTGAAAGCCCCAATTAATACAGAAAAGAAGACCTAAGGAGAACAAAGGAATAGCATTATGTTACTTAGATGGTACTTAGCACAAAATTTTCAGACTTCTTCAAATAGACAATTAGATTTTTAAATGGCAACATAACACATGAATACTAGAAGTTAAAAATATTTGAATGGTTTAAGTACTTTTTGATTTACAATGCAGATTTAGACTTACTTGCTCAGTGATCTGTCTTATGGGACCAGAATATTGTAACAGGAAATATTCCTTCAGTGATTATGAATTTTGGTTTAGGAACATCAGCAGATAAAATGGAAACAGATACTAGAGAGACAGAAGACCCAGGTCTGAATCCGGGAATAAGCACTAATTGACTGTCTGTCTCCAGGCAATGTTGGGCTTAAATTTCTTCACTTGCCAAAATAGGCAAGGTGCAATTTTTTTCCTTACACAGTAACATTAGCTGTTGTATCATTTATATGAAACAGGATACATCAAAATATTTTGTAAATTACAAAGTATACACAGGCAAGGCACTATCAAGTGAAGTCTTTTTTCTACCCCAGACTGTTGTTCTTTGAAATCTAATAAAAAGGGTTTTGTTTTGATTTGCACAAATTAGTTTCTTATTGGTTAAGACTTTACATTGTTATTCTGGTGTTAAAGAGAACTAAAGTCATTATTAATTTCCTTCTAAATTACACAGAAATTATATTATCTAATTATTTATACAAAAGAGTTTTTACTAAATGATTATAAATTCATCTTCTCAATTAGCCTTACAATAGCACTAAAAGTTATGCTTCGTTATTCCTATTGTTTACATTGGACAGAAGAGACAGCAGAGGCTTGACAGGTGTAAGTCACTAACCCAATTAACACAGCTAATTAAGTGGATTAGCTGGAATTTAAACCAAGTCAACCTAAAATCAAATTCCATGCTTTATTTACTATTCAAAGATTCCAGTTTGTGAGACAGATGTGGACTGAGTGAATACTGAATTTTAAACTGCTTACCTACATTACAATTAATTGCAATATACCTCTTCTTATAACCTAGGTTCACTTATAACATCCCTAATATCCTAATAAAAGATTTTTGTAGCAGTCATTCATATTCTGGATTGGCAAAAGTAAGAGACACAATCACCCTTATGACATGTTATATCCCTAAAGATTTGTTTTTGAAAAACACTACTGCTTTAACTCAGCAAAATATGTTGTTCTGGCCTATGGAAAAGGAGCCCAGTAACTTCTAAGTTTATGTACTTTATTAGATCAACATATAAAGTTACTTTGTGTTTGTCAATTATCTTATTGTCTTTAAATAAAGAGGACAGCATCAGATGGCAAGCCTTTTGTCTTTGCACAAATTTGTAAGGCAGAGAACCTACAAACAGAATATTCTTTTAGAGAGAGCAACAATATATAATATAAATTTATGCAACATATTTGCTATTTTTCAAAAAAAATGAAGAGCAGTTGTACAAGGAATCTGCAAAAGAAACAACAAAACTGGCTTTGGATATACCTACTTTCATTTCCACTTTATAAGCATGTGTGTTAGTTTGTAGTATTCAATAGTTTTTCAAATATAACCTCCTATAGTCAAACCAACATACCAACTAATTTCACTGACATTATAAATAATGATTCATTTCTTGATGTAAGATCACTTACAGTGAGTACTTGTCCAATAGAATATTCTTTTGTGATGACCAACTTAGTACCGTACCAGAAGGCCAGGGCATAAGATGCATAGATCAGCAGGAAAGCAGCCCCCATGGAAATATTGGCTGTAATAGCCTTCTTTATCCCAATCCTTTTAGCTTCTTCCAAATTTTTGTTGTATCTGGTAGAAGTAACAAAAAGTATCATATAAACTCATATGTATTATTAAGTGAATCAATCTAGCATGATGGTCAATATATGTAGAATACGTCCAGCTCTGTGACAGGTGATTTACATGTATTTTCTGCTTTTGCTCATACAATGACCCCATGATTTTAGTGCTATTATATTTCCTTTTTATAAAGAGAAAGCTGCAGTTCATAAAGATTAAGTAACTGATGGGCAAGTCCTGTCAAAGCTCCTTCGTTGGTCTCAGCAATAATGCAATCAGTAAAGTGATATTCAACTAACTTCTAGAACTCACGCTGTTTTCATTGACAAGTCAAAAATAGAAGCTATACTGGTGTTTCCCTTTAAAAATGTATATCCCTTTTCAATTTATTAATAAAAGACAAAAAAGTAGAGAAAGTAGTCATAAGTTCTTTAAATCTCTGAACTTCTAATGAGGCTTTGGAGATAGTTGTTCTCCATCCTGGTCATTCTGGGACTGCCAGAAGGACTCACTGAGAGGAAATATGTGTGAGGACATTTTGAGAACTTTGAATTGCTATGCAATACTTTTTACATTTAAATAAACTAGCTTATTTCCAGAGATGTTTATTTTAAAAATTAGTGACCTGCAAACATTATTTGGTATAAAAATCTATAATAATGTATCACATTATCCCTCTCCCCTTCCTTGGCCTTGCCACACTTTGCTTACATATGACTCCCTCTGACAATATGTCCCAACCTTTGTCATGTCGTGCTGCTCACTGCTAGAGGCTCTGACCCAGTAGATTAGGCCACCCTGGGTCTTCAGGCTACCTCAAGGACTGAGAAAATAGCAAAAACATGACTGTAGCCCTGTAGTCTGGTCAGAGTGCAAAGGTCTCTCTTATATTAACCAGGCTTGGAGAAAATTCAATGACACTTCGTACAACCATTACAGGGAATGACACAAGATAGGCTAAAGCAAGAAATGAAAACAATGCTGGAGTTACTGGTGGAGGTTCTCTCTCCAATTTTAATGACCTAAAGCTTACTGTCAAATAATAATTCAAGTACTTTTTAAACATTCAAAGCATGGTTGATCTCAGCTATTAAAGGAGATAGTGCCTGTAACATGACCTTTATTTGAAAGGAATACAGACTCTTCTGTTTAAGAGACATGAAGTTAAGATCATGAGGCCCAGATTTAAACAAAAAGAATTTTCACAAATATACAAGGTAATATTACTAGAGAAATAGGAAAGATTATATTTGAGACTTAAATCTGCTTTGATCCTCTTAATCACAACTCCTTGAAGGTTTTAGAATATTGCCTTACAGAAAGAACTCATAATTACTGAAATAAAAGAATTTACTTCCATACAGAAATCATATTTTGAGGACTTTGATCCATTAAAACAAAACTATATAAATATTACATGGCAATATATTATCTTTTGGGCGGATTCATCCCATTCATTAGTATGTACAGCAGAGCGCAAACCCTGCTCACCTTTTTTCTTATTTTAAAGACTGTTTATAACTAATCAACTAAAGTTACAAAAGCATGCCAAATGAAATTTATATGACCACTAAATATCAACTTTAAACAGAACCTTAGATTGATAAAATAATCACATTGTTATTCAAATTTCTCCCTCCAAAATTTTAAATACCAATATACCAATTATAATCCTTGACAAAAAAATTTTTATAAGTATGCTTCAATGGTTGATGTGTATTGTGTGTTGTCTACATATATATATTCCTATATGTGAGTTAATCTAAGATGAAAGGTGCTACTAGATATGAAATACACATGATTACATTTAAGAAACTTTAATGCTTATACCTGACACCTTCTTATCTCCTTTATTTCAGTTCTTGCTTACCGGGACTAGTGAAGAAATCATTTCCCTGATATGTTGTGGTCCCATGCAGCCAGAGGAAACATTTGTATAGGGAGAAGCAGCAGCAAGGAAGAAAATAATTTAGAGACCAGAAAAAATAAATGAAAAGAAGGGGAAAAGGGAAGAGGAAACAAACAATACACCTTTCACAGTTTTTTAGCTTTTTGATAAAAATGTTACACATGCAAAATCAGTTGTTATAATTATCCATTCATTAAACACATTAGTGTGAAAGTGATACAGTAGGAATTCCTAAAATAGTTACATTATAAAAACATTGATATTTAGAAAAAAATTATTAATATTATGAAAATATTTGTCAGTGATGCAAATAGCCACTAAAAAGAACAAAGAATCATTTTAGTTAATTTTAAAAATATTAATAAGTAGGGCCTCTCTGGTGGTGCAGCGGGTTAAAGCACAGCACTAAGAAGCTAAAGCCACTTCAGCATGAGTTCGATCCCTGTCCCTGGAGGTGACCACATGGCGCGGCAGACCTCTCCTGACCTACCCACTGCTCCTCTCAGCAGGGTGCTTTGTTGATCTGTCTGTTCTGCTCCCCACTCTGTCTTTGGTGAATCTTCTCACCACCCCTACTCCTCTGGCTTGTACCCCAGTTCTGTTTGCATAATAAATACATCTTTTAAAAATATTTATTAATAAGTAAACATCTGCAAGGCACACAAGCAAGTGAAATAGCATTTTAAGGCAAATAAAGCTAGTATATATTTCTGAATTAAATTCATTTTAAATTCCAGTTAAATTTCATTCTATGAAAGCCATCCTTTGCTAAGGAATTACCTCAAGTAAACATCTGCAAGGCACACAAGCAAGTGAAATAGCATTTTAAGGCAAATAAAGCTAGTATATATTTCTGAATTAAATTCATTTTAAATTCCAGTTAAATTTCATTCTATGAAAGCCATCCTTTGCTAAGGAATTACCTCCTGTACCTGCTCATCTGAGGAGAAAATCATATTTAGACTTTAAATAACAGTTTATATGGAAGCTAAAAGAGAAGGGGAAGAGCTAGAAAGTAAAGGATTATATTTGGTTTAAGAAAGTATTTCTACACTACATCCCAAAGCTTAGGTTCTTGTTGCTCCTTTCCTATAGTCTAAGCAAGCTGCCCATGGTCTTATTGCTTACACTTTTTTTTCACTTGTCTCTTCTATTAATCAGCTCAATTACAGACAGAGAAATTATTGTAAAACGTAATGTGGATACTCATTTCTTTGTCAAAGATCCTCAACTACTTACTTGTGTCAGTGTAATAAAGCCCTCATGTAAGTCCTCATGTTTTGGATCCTAGCCACCATCAAGAGCCTCTCTACATCAATTTTCCCCCACCCAACTGAACTTCAGTCACACAGCCTTATGCTATATCCAAGAACATTCCAGAGTCATTGTCACTCCAGGAAATCTGAAAGCCCTGTTATCTCTACACTCATCATAGCAAGTTTTCTCTCATTCCAAGTCTCAATCTAAATGAAACCTCCTCAAAGATCATCATATTTAAAGTAAATTTTCTTTCTTTACCCACATTAGCACATTCTTTGAGTTTTGAGGAACAGATTGTTAAACTTGTATTTTCAATGATTTTTCTGAAGATCTTAGACCATCAGGTATTTGTCCTGTCTATTCTTCATTTGCAGGCAAAACAAATTTCCTCTTCTTCAGAGCACTTTTCCCCTTTGAGAAGTGCATTCTAGTTACTAATATATCCTGAAGTAGTGATTTCACATACAAAGCATCTTTGAATAGATGCATTGAACAGATGCATGTATAAGCCCATTTGATTTTTCTTATACTGAAACACTGATTAGTCTTTAGAAAAATATCTCTGCAAACTAGTTTTAAAAAATCTCAACTTATTGGCCCTCCCTGGTGGCGCAGCGGGTTAAAGCACTGCACTGAGAATCTAAAGCCGCTTCCGCATGAGTTCAATTCCCGCCTGCCCCGGAGGTGACCACATGGTGTGGCAGACCTCTCCTGGCCCTCCCGCTGCTCCCCTCAGCAGTGTACTTCGTCAATCTGCCTGTTCTGTTCCCCACTCTGTCTCTGGTGAACCCTCTCACCGCCCCTGAGCCTCTGGCCTGTACCCCAGTTCTGTATGTACAAATAAATAAATCTTTAAAAAAAAATCTCAACTTATTTACACTTTTAGTGAAGAAAGTTTCCAATATTGAACATATTTCTATAGTGATCTTTCCCTTCTTCATTCAAGTTACATCTCCTACATCATCATACATCATTACAGATTTAGTTATAACAATATACTTAAAGTAATGTACATTCCTTAACTTCATACTGCATTTAGTTATAAGGAGTACTGTTATTCTGTTATTTTATGTAATATTAAGGAAGAAATTTAATAGAACATTACATATAATCTGGGACCAAAACAGTTACAGCCTCAGAGTAATACTGAATTTCCCCTGATAATTTAACCATAAGACAATACTCATCCTGGGGAAACAAAAGCAAAAATAAACAGGTGGGACTACATTATTTTTATACCTAAAGATACTGTCACAAAACAAAAGGCAACCCACTAAGTGGGAAAAAATATTCATATATCACACATCTGACAATGGGCTAACTTCCAAAATACATAAAGCTCTCACACAATCCAACAACAAAAAACAATTAAAAATGGACAAAACAACTAAATAGACACATTTCTAAAGAAGACATTCAGATGAGGACCTCCTTAGTGGCAAAAAGGGGTTAAGTCTCAGCACTATGATTCTATCAGCAGCCACTGCAGCACAAGTTTGAACCCCCACTAGGAAGTTTAAACCACATGACACAGAGGACCTCTTTTGTCTCACCCACTACTCCCCTCACCAATGTCTCTCAATAGATTCATTTGTTCTGCTCCTTACTCTGTCTCTGATGAATTCTCTCACCCTCTGAACCTTTGGCCTACACCCCAGTTTTTGTATGCATTAATTTTTTTTTTAAAAAAAGACATTCAGGTGGGCTATAGACACATGAAAAATTGTTCAACATCCTTTATCATAAAAGAAATGCAAATCAAAATCACAATCTCATCCTCTGACAATAGCACATATCAAAAAGAATAGATCAACAAATATTGATAAGTTTGTGGTGAAAAAGAACTCATCCACTGTTGTGGGAGTGCAAATTTGGGCAGCCTCATTGGAAAACAGTATGGAGATTTCTAAATAAAATGAAAATGTAAATTACATATGAACAAGCAATACTTCTGTTAGATATCTATCCTAAAATTGTGAAAAATATAATATGAAAAGATTTATGTACACATAGATAACAGCACTGTCCACAGTTGCAAAGTCCTGGAACAAACCTAAGTGCCCTTCAACAAATGGACAAAGTCACTATGGAATATATACACAACCCAGCACTATACAGCTGTGAACAAATGAAGCAGTGGCCTTTGACAAAATGGATGGGTCTCAAAGTGATTATTACAAGAGAATAAGTTAGAAAATGAGAGAAATATCAGAGAGTTTTACTCACCAGTGGAATATAAATAACAACAAAAAATACACAAGCAAGCTTAACATAAAAGAACCTTGGGCTTCATGAAAATATGTTCTGGTTATGTGAGGGTGAGTGGATCATGTGCATGGAATGAGAACAAAACTATAACCTCAAATTTAAAATAAAAATTAAAAAGAGTATGTTTTCTGTGGGTCTCTAGTGTATACTTTTTATTAGTTTAACAGTTTTAATTGTTTCTAATTTTAGGAGTTTTGTCATTAATTGCCTACAATTAATGCCTTTTCTCCAATTCATCACAGTATTTCTTTTAATCTGTTAATATGGTTAATTATATTAATTAATTCTGTTAAACCATCTTTACATTGATGAGATAAAGTCAACGAACTTAACATATTTTTTCACATAGATTTATTTGAGTAATAATATCTCAGGATTTTCTGTGTCTCTATTTTAGGTGAGAGTATAACATTATTTTCCTTTCTCATACAACTGTATGGTTGTAGAATCAATGTTACACTACTTTCATAAAATGAGTTCACAAATTTTTGTATAGATTTTTTTCTCTGCAACAATTTGTATAAAATGGGTTCTCTTTCTTTCAGCTCTTAGAAGACTAAGAAGCTCTTAGAAGTCTGTAAAATTATCTGGATCTGATGGGTTTTTATTATATACATA